GCTCACCTGCTCTTCCGACCTAACCGAGGCTTGAACGTTTCCTGCACTCACAACTTCGGCTTCGTTTCCTGCTTTCGAAACCGTTATTGCTTTTGGATTCGTTTCCTGCGTCGTCTCCTTCTGACTTCGTCTCCTGCACTCACGGCTTCGTCTCTTTCCCTCACGGCTTCGCCTCTAGTTCGCCTTTCAATTCTCACAGGAAGCCCTAATCTTATACGCGAATACACAAACACGAATCGGCTGCGTCGTATTTATATATATACCGAAGAAAAAAATTTCGAGGCGGTGCCTCATACTGCCTCGAGGCGTTACGCTCTAATGCGTACGCCTTGTGCGAAAAAATCGTAGGCTTCGCTAGATGGTTCGAGGCGTAAGCCTTGATGCGCATGACTTTCGCCTCGACTTGAGGTGCGACTCAATGTGGACGCCTCGTCCGCTTTTTTAATGGTTGTTCCAGAGATAGAAACAAAGTAAAGGTTTGAGTGAGAATTATATTTCATGGTAGAGTGTATTAGAAAACAATGGCAAGGCCATATGACTAAGTTTTTAGACACCTTGTGCGATCAAGACATAGTTGATTTTTCTTGCAAAGGTGTTTGACTAGCTGATGAAAAAAGAGGGGGAAGGAATGGAGGATATGATTGATGCTTTGAATATTATATGCAAAAGAGAGCTATTAAATGGTTAAACCAGAAGAGTAAAATAGATATTATCTATTAGATATGACTCTTCTTGGTTGGCGTTTCCTTTCCTCTTAGAGCTCATTTTGTTAATCAAAGTTAAAGTTTTTTTTTCTTAAGTGGTGAATTTATTCATTTCCATCATTTGGTTGAACCTATTTAGAAACCGAAATAGGTTTTTAAATCTATAAACACTTTCAAAACAAAAAATTGATGATTTTATTTCACTTGAGTGGAAACTAATTATTGTTTTCTAAACAACAAGATTTGTTCTTAAATGAATAATGCTTCTCCTTGATTTGTCCTTCTAAAAAATTTTTCCTTAGGTTTGATGTGACTATAGTTAAGGATAAAAAGTTTGAAATTATTCTGAAATTATTTGTATGTGGTCATTTTAATTTCAGATTATCTAATGTAATCAATATAATCTATTGACTCTTCAAATTGATCCGAAATAGTCCTTATATTAAAATCATTGTCTAAATTGCAGAAAGTGGTCAGTACAACAAGGCATGGGAGGATGATATTTTAGAAAAATAAAAGTTTATATATATTTTTAAATTACTATTTACAATCCATAATATCGCACACATTGCTTGTTGAACAAGAACAAAAAATCGTGGAACAGCTAAGGGAACTAATAGCTAATAGCACTTTAAGCAGTTGCCATATAGCGATGGTGTATGTTGGAGGAGCCAATGGCTATGAAGAGCTTCTGCAGCAAATTTGATGACTATGAAGACCCTCTTTTGGCGGGAGGAAGTGTTCCGCGAAGCTGACTGGTAAGAGTTTTGCTATTTTTTCTCAATCAACGAAGGGATTATGATGGTTCCCTATAACTAAGCTTTGTTATTGGTACGCAATGCAAGAGAGATGACAACAGCAGATTGATGGCAAGAAATACCATCAACCATCAATGAGGAGGTTCTAGGAGGGTCAGCTTTTTTCATCAATTATTTTTTATTATTATTATTTTCTATAAAGTTTGTGTTTGTTATTGTAAAATAGAAAAAATGTATGCATTAATTCTATCGTTGAGTATTTGAAAATAATAATGGAATGAGTCAACTAGAAAAAGAAAAGATATTGGAAATGTTAACAAAATATTATATGATGTAGTTTCTGAATAGATTGAGGATTCAAATTTCTCATAACTAATTAGATGGTTAACTAAGATTGATTTTGAAATGGAAATTGTTGATAGGGATGTAGAGGTAAATGAGAGTAGTAATGATGATGATGAAGAGTAAGACGATGAATTTGATGGATTGTGAAAAGTTTTATAATAACGACTATAAGATTTGTGAGAATGATTATTGTTTCAAAACATTATAGATCTTTCTATTGAATTTAGCGGTGCTGAGGAAAAGGGCAAGCAGAACATTGGGTTATCCAATAAAAACCCAGATGAAATTGTGAAGAAAAAATATTGTGAAAAGTTCGAGATTGGATTGAAATGCATGTTTATATGGAGTGCATGCATGCATATACTTTGAACATGTTTATATATGTATTAATTCATTTCACCCATTCAAAAACTTGAAGGGTGGAAGATGTGTGAAGTTATCCTTCTAAGAGAATAGTAGTTTGTCCCGCCATGCATGCTGATGCATAAATGGGCAATTTGTTTGTAGATTAGAATAAGAATGTTTTAAAAGTTTGTGAATCACTTAAAATTGAGCCGATTGATATGGTTTGGATTGGTCTTCAACTGAAATAAATGAGTCGTGTCCCTAGCTAGAATTGGTTTAAGTTAAGATTGGATCAGGCCAACCTATTGTTTAGTCTAAGTTGGCTTGATGTAGGTTGAATGGTTTTATGCCAATCTCTTTGGCCTAGTTATATGAACGACTCAAGTTGCAAGCATTCATAGCTCTAACTAGCCTTTTCGAGGCTGTTATATTATCAATGCTCTTCAATTATCTTGCATCATTGGTTTACCCACGCTTGATACCCATTTTTAGGGGTTTTAACCTTTGGATTCATTTCAGTGAGTATTTCCTTCTTTTTTTAGCCGTGCATCTCCCCATTAGATTGTATAATCTTAATTGTTTTGCTAGCGCAGCTTGTATTGAAGTTGCAGAATGCATGCACTGATGTCGCATTTCAAATGAATTCGCTCTTTGCTGATCTTGAGCGGTCAGATTGGCTTGATGTTTATTTTCAGCTCTGTTATTAGAACACGCATGTTTTATTTGCTCTATTATAATTCATAGCAGAAATTATGTTTATTGAATTATTTTAAAAGAAATGGTCTTTTTTTAGCCATAACCTGTGAATGTGACGCTAGTCTTAAGCATATGATGCACGTCTTTCAAATGAAGTTCTATATTATTTATTTGAGCTTTATTTGTGTGTATGCTTCAATTCTCTATCAGAAAAATGATATTTTAGGGCTAGTTTGTTTCACTAAGGCTTCGTTTGGGGAGGCTTTCTTACGGCTTCATAAAGCAGTTTTATAGTACAAAAATTTAAGAAAGTCATCCAAAACGAAGCCTAATTTTTAATAGGAATGTAATTCCCGTGCTTGTAGGGTTGCAAAGACCTGTATTGATCTCAGCTTATGAAAGTCTGAGCCGCAGCTCAATTGTAGCTTAAATAAAATAAATTTGGTTATAGGAGTGGATAAGGCAGCTAGTAATTACGTGGGCATGCCATATGTGTCCTCCTATTTAAAGTAGTTTTAATTGAAACCATTTGATAGACTTACAGGATGCTTTACTTTGGGAAGAGTGCTAGTATTGTATCACAGCCGTTCTTTACTTGATTGAGTAGAAAACAGACATGAAATTTGTGCTTGTCATTCATGCAGCTGCTTTATGGTTAATTTCCTTTTGTGTCAACTGTCACGTGACCTCAAATTACAGTATGGTGCTTCATAAATCGTAATGTCTGGCTTGCGATGACAAGTACAGCCTAAGGTTTCATTTGGGATGACTTTTTTACTGCTTCTTAAAGCAGCTTTTTAGTTGAAAATTTTATATTAGAAAGTTGCTTTAAGAAGCAATAAGAAAGTCATCTCAAACGAAGCCTAAATGACCATGTTTGGAAAAGCGGTTTGAAGATCATCTGGGTTTTTGTTTTGATTATGAATCTGCAAATATTGATCTGAGATCTTTTGGCTATTTTCATTTTCACAGAAATTTTGGAGGTACAGCTTGTGATGGTTGTTCCTATTTCTTATCTTTGGTTTAACTGGTAGAGCTTCTAATGACCTCATTATCTGGCTTTGAATCTGCAGAAATGACAAATCAGAGACCTTCTTATCCATCTTCAAAAAGCAAAGTTGAATGGGATAAGATTGAAGCCGAGGTTAAAAAGGAGGTATGCGTATTAAATTCATCCGGTCATTTTTATATTCATTTTTCTCTTGCCCTTTAGAACTCAATACTGCTTGCCAAGCACTTCCACCGAATAATTTTTTGCATGATCTACCAGGAGAAGGAAGAGAAATTAGATGGTGATGCGGCTTTGAACAAACTTTTCCGTGATATATATCAGAATGCTGATGAAGACATGAGACGAGCAATGTGTAAATCTTTTGTAAGATACTGTTCAACCCAACTACTTTTAAATTGAGCGATTTTTCAGCATCCGTAGTTAAGCAAATAAGTTAATTTAATATTTATGTTCGACTCGTGAACTTTTTGAACTAACATGATCTATTAATAAACATAAAGCCTAGTTGAAAGTCGTATATATATTTAGATTATATATCATAAAATATTTATCAATATAAACATATAAACTCTTATTTTTATGTAGATATAAATATAATCTAGCTACTTTAGAATCAAAAGCTGTTGGAGGAGTTCTTGTTCATGTTTAGGTCGTTAAATAAATGAGTTTATAAAAATTATTGTCAAATATGAGTTAATTATTGAGCTTAACACAAATAACAAGCTTTTTTTAACTTCCTTAGACGAAGCAGATTAAGGTTTCATTTGGGACAGCTTTCTTACTGCTTCTTGAAGCTGTTTTCTAGCAAAAAAATAAAATTTTTATAATAAAAAGTTGCTTTGAGGCTTCGTTTGGGACGACTTTCTTATTGCTTTTTAAAGTGGTTTTCTAGTTAAAAAATATTAAATTTTGTACTGAAAAACTATTTTGAGGAGGAAGAAAACCATCACAAACGAAGCCTAAGGTGGCAACGGTTCAGTTTTTGCTTTGTATGAACAGTTGCAATTGAATCCTATTTCTTTGCGTTGTGAATATAGGTAGAATCAAATGGGACTGTATTGTCTACGAACTGGAAAGACGTTGGTTCTAAGAAAGTGGATGGAAGCCCGCCCGATGGCATGGAGATGAAGAAATGGTAAAGAGTACTGCAGCACTTTTACCTCTTTCTCAGGGTCTTTGAACCCTTTGTATAATCCCACCTTAAGGACGTGCACTGTGTGGTTTTTTTTGTCAGTTTTTTGAGAATCTGCTGTAGTTTTTCAATAGAAGTTTCTAGAAAACTTGAGAATTTGCTCTTAGGTCTGATCTTGTTGCCGAAGCTAGCTGTGTTATGTTGCATGTATGTTTGATCTTATTGTTGCAGGATCTTTTTAACTCAATAATAATAGCTGCATTTGCTATTGTTTAGATTAAAATGTTTGAACTTTTTTAAGAATGGGTGGTTAAATTACATCACTTAACCATTAGTAATAATAAGCTAAAGCCACCTTGAAAAATTAATGTATGACCACGAAAACAAATCGCTTCTAGTAAAATGGATAATCGTCGAGACTAAGGATTCTTTTGGTTATTTGGTACTTTTTGTAAAAGGTGGTTTTAGAAATATTGGTTAAGGGAATGAAGTTTTTTTGCGGAGAAGTAAATATAAAAAAAAATTCTCAAAATAGCAAAAAAATTAAGTTTCCTAAAAGAATTTTTATAAAAGCGTCTCATTTAAACAACAAATAAAAAATAATATTGACGTTTCCAAATAGAAAAAAAAAAGTAAAAAATGCCCTCTCAAATGAGGCCTTAAATGGTGCTCGTGATTGATGTGTTGTCTAAAAGCATCTCCAACTGAAAATCTTATTTTTCATTTTAAAATATCGTGAAATTATAAAATGCCGTGATTCATCTCCAATCGAACTCCACTTTTCACACTTTTGCAGGTAACGGTCATCTCTTCTTTTTCGCGCCAAATTTGGTAGAGGTAAAGACGGCGGAGATGAACACTGCAACGCCAATATTTGCGTCCCATTGTTCACCTGCAGTCAAATAGCAGGAAATTTGCGGTTCGGCTGGAGCTGGCCAGGGATGCCATTCAAGCGGTTGCAGTTCGGTTGGAGATGTCCTAAGGTTTTATTTGGGATAGTTTTAAATATTTTTTTAGCATTGAAATATTTTGAAAAAAAAAAATTTAAAAAAAAATGGTGGTCAAAAGATGTATCAAATGAAGCATAAATATGTAAGAAGAGTGTATATGGAGAAAATAAAAGTTCTTGAAGGAGTCGCCTCTCATATTAAGTGTTCATTTGAAAAGAAATACATTTTGATGATTTCATGTTTATTTATTTACATTTAAAAATAAACTCATTATATACCGAGCTTTAACGCTTATAATTATTTCATTTTTAGCTATTTTGAGTCTAAAATTTAACGGTCATCTGTAATAGAGTTTTGTAAAAACTTATGAAGCTTAAAATTAAAATTAATTTGTGACAAATCTAACATTTCTTAAATTTAACAGATTTTATAACTTTTCAAACTAATGATTTTTTAATTTTAATCAGCCAAATGAGATAAGAAGATTACTATGTTTAATTAGTCAGTCAATGCAGACTCATGCAGATTCACCAATTAGGAATTCCCGTGTGAAAAACTCTTTGCTATTTTATTTGATCCGGTCACAGGACGTAGCTCTACGCTCGGCCGCTAGTAGAATCGCGCCACGCGTTCTCACTATTTACCGCGCGCCCCGACAACCCGACCCGGAACGGACCCAGGATGGCTCGGTATTTCTCGATTTTGCTAGGTATTGCTCGGTATTACTCAGTATTGCTAGGTATTGGTCGATTTTGCTTGGCAATAACCAATACCGAGCAATACCGAGTAATACGAGTTGTACCGAGTTTTTATAGAAAATCTAGTTACAACTCGGTATTTGCTCGGTATTGGTCATCACAGAGCGGTATTTCTCGTTATTGCTATGCAATACCGAGCAAATACCGAGTAATACCTCGCAATACGCGAACATAGCATTCCCGGGTTCCGGTCCGGATCAACTCGTCGGGCTGCACGGTAGTTCACGTAACGACATGTTATTGGCGGCCGAACATAGCTCTACGTCAGATCAAAGGACGTAATAATTGTTCCCATCTCTCAGGGCATTAAATACTTGATTTGCTTCGTTTATTTTATTTTATTTTTAATTACAAGCGTACATATTGATCGGTTCAACACGGTCATATTCGAGAAGAAAAAAGCAGAAGCCAATTCATTCCAATATTCCATTATGGTGAGCTATTAAATATTACACAAACTATTTTTCAAATTTTTGTTGACTTCGAGAGGAAAGTTCAGATTGTTTATTTTGATTTGGTGGTTGAAAGTTTTATTTATTAATTAAAAAATTTTGAATTCATAATTTATATATGTGTTGTGTGCGTGTGAATATTGAAAAAAATTATTAGGTGCAGCGTGTAGACGTGTCTGGAGGCCTATCCGGACGTGCTATGTCACACGCAATACATAGTGGATTGGCTTTTGGATGTGTTCGGACACTGCACAGAATAATCTCTCGAACATTGGGCAGCTGATTTCAAAGATTTTTTGAATTTTAGGTGACTTGAAATGAAAATCAACTTGATTTCGAAATGTCTTGTTTGAAATTAACGCGAATCAATTTGGTTTTTTCTTGGTCTTTCGTATAATTACTACTAAAATTAGCTCCCCTAAAATAACAATTTTTTATGATAATAAGAGTTTAAAAATAGTGATAAAATTTCTAATTTATTTGACGCTTTTAACCGTTAGAAAATATATTTAAATTTAACAGTAATAAAATTAGGAGTTAAAACTATTACCATTTGAGAAAATATGTTTAAATTTAACCGTAACAAAATAAGTTTAAAGCTCTGATAACAATAATATTGTAGTTAAAACTATTACCATTTGAGAAATATTAGTGCTAACAAAATCATTAGCATTTGTTTCATGATATTTTTGTTTTTAAACTGGTGACATATATACTAAGATCATCTCCAACATCACTATATATCACCACATATCGTCTTTCATTCGCTGCATTCAAACTCCAAATCTCACGCCAAAATTTGGTAGGTGAACAATGTGACGCCAATATTGACGTTAGACTATTTACCTATGCCAAAAAATTGAGTTGCGGAATTTACCGAAGAAGAGAGTGCGAAAAAGGAGAAAAGCGAGCGAAAGAGGTGAGAGATGATTACCTTCGCAGGAAGCATGTGAAAGAATAAAGATATGTTGTTCGATTGGAGATGAGTTACGGAACTTTGAAGTTTTACTAAATTTTATAGCGGAAAATGGGTTTTTCGATTGGAGATGCCCTAATAATTTTTGCCCTAGCCCAAGTGCATTATTTCTTTAAACCCTAGATGCTTCGACCTTCATGTCAATCATTTATTTAGTCGATATTTTTGGCTAATGTATTCTTTTAATTTTAAATTTTCATAGACACATTTGATGGTTTGGTCACATACGATAGTCTTCCGATGATCCGGTTATGAGAGTAGATGTAATATATCTAACTTATGCTAAGAAAGATAGGCATAGACTTAAAACTCATTAAAAGACTTTATTATAAAATATTATAAATGATTTTTTTTATTATATTTAAATTAGAATCTATCTCTTAATAAAATACAATGAAGAAAAAAAATATATCATATAGTTGACCACATATAATAAGATAGAAGGTTTGATATTATTGTATAGGGCACATAAGTGCAAATAAGTAAAAATTATTATGTGCGGTGTCCGGACGCATCGGGAGGTTAATCCGGATGTATCACATCACATAATACACAATATATTGGATGACATGACGCATCCAAATTGACCTCTAGCACATAATAATCTCTCGCAAAAAAGTTGATGTCAAACAGCTTCATTTGACAAAATTTATAACAAGTCGCACAGCGAGCCTTGGAATTCAATGGTCAGCATGGACGGCGCAAAAAATATGAAATTAATATAAGTGTGTATAGACTCTAAGCACCGTGTACGCTGGACTACCAAATCAGCAAATCAGAGCCAAACAGCCAAGCTGATTATCATTCATTAGTCAATCTTTCATTAAATTCATCACACACTAAGTCATAGAAACTGATTGACAATCTCAGGAGAACGCTATAAATTCTCCAATTTTTATAGTATTTTAATATTATATTCATATGTAGGATTAATTACTTAGGTTTTCTTAAGATAATTTTTTATGTTTTATTTTTTAGATTATAATTATAATTTTTATTTGATAAAAATTTTAAAAAAGCCTCATCTCTATAACTAATTTTATAATTAACTTTATAAAAAACTGTAGCTTTCCCAAATGAGTTCTTAGTTGAAAGTTTTCACATTAAAATTTTCATTTATTAAAAAAGATAAATTTAATAATTTTGAAGTTTGAACTAATTTATTTTAAAGATAATATGTTTAAAATATATTGAGTTGAATTATGAGTTTTTAATCAAAGTTTTATCATAGCTATCTAATGACTTTTTATTATTTTTGGCACAATTTTTTCATTGTTTTGATTTTTTGATAACAACTTTAATTTTGTTTTATTACTATCTTTTAGTTATTTTTCGTAATTTTTTATAACGTGGATCTATTTTTTTTCAGAATAGTTAAGTTGTTTTTCCGATAATAATTTCACAATTAATTTTATAAAACGTTATAATCGTCAAAACAAACTCTTAGAACTTATGCATATAATAAAATTTTTTGAAGATATTTAATATTTTTCATTTTATTTTATTCGTTATTTAAATATAATATATCAAATTTTAATTATAATTTTATAAAAATTTGGCGTGAAGAAATATTAGTCTTAAAATAATACCAAGCATTTATGACTCATAAAACAAGTCATCAATTGTAGAATTTCCATACTCCCCCTTTATATAATCCCAACGAATCCCTTATTAATCCATAGCCTCCAAAAAAGAAAAAAAAAAACAAAAATGGAGGACAAAGATCAGGCAATCCCTCTCGCACCCCCAACCCGCGACGAGGAATCGGCCATCCAAAGCCCCCTCCGCCGCCGCCGCCGCCCCACCCGTCGTTGCGCCCTGTGGTGCTGCGGCATCTGCGGCACGACCATCGTCGTTCTCGGCGTCATCATCCTCATCCTCGCCCTCACCGTCTTCAAAATCAAAGACCCCGAAATGACCATGAACAACCTCTACATAAACCGCCTCTTCGTCCCTGGCCTCGGCACCCTCGACAACCCCACCATCTCCGTCAACGCCACCCTCACCGCCGATATTTCCATCAAGAACCCTAACGTCGCTTCCTTCCGGTTCCGCAACAGCTCCACCGAGTTCTTCTACGGCGACGAGACCGTCGGCGTCGCCTACGCGCCGGACGGCAACGTGAGGGCGTATAGGACGGCGAGGATGAACGTGACGGTGGATGTTTTGGCGGATCGGGTGGTGTTGGATACGAACGCGACGGGATCGGCTGTGTTCGATGGGGCGGTGAATATGAGCAGTTATACAGATATTGCTGGGCGGGTTAATGTGCTCGGCGTGTATAAGTTGAATATGGACATACATCTTAACTGTAGCTTTACTTTGGAAGTCTACCAGAGGGCTATCAGCAACAAGGTATGCTTTGCGTATGTTCAATGATGATGATGATTTTTTTTTTTTTTAAGGGAAAGGGCTGTTGACCGGGAAA